AATTGTTGACCTGAGTCCCCTACAGCTCAACATAACACTATGGCTTTACTTTTTATACAGATCCAAAAGCTACAACTCTTGTTGCAAAGGTCTTGCTTTATCTTGGTCTTAACCATCAAGCAGAAAAGTATAAAGACGAAGTATAAGATGTTATGCGCTTCTTTTAAACCATCCCTCAAAGGACGTTAGGTGGAAGAGGCGCCATGGGCCGGGTCAGTCCCTCCACGGATTACGGCTGTTTGGGAGGGCTGCACTTGGAGGCTGCTTCCGGCAGGTGGCGATCTTGGGCTGGGCAATGGCTTGCGTGCTGCGTGGGCACCCACGACTGCGATTTCGCACTCTCCTTGGTTCTCTTACTGCTCAGAGGGGCCAGGGGTTCGGGGGACCACGAAGCAGATGCTAGGCAGGAGGAACCTTCTGAGAACATCGCCTCACAAGAAGTCCACCCCAGGGGAGCCCGCCGCCCCCAGGGGCCGCCCTCACTTTCTTCCCGGCAACAAATCCTGCCTAAACCCCATCTACTGAATTTGCTTGCTCTTCTCTCTGTGGGATACATCAAAGTAGACGCCCCAGCCGCTAATCCTGTTCAGAAGCGCACGGAACTCGGAGGATACGGCGAAGGAGAGAACAGCAGAGAGAGGCGCTATGGTGGTCAGCCTCCCTCAGCTCCCGCCCAGAGCTGGAGGAAGAGGCCCCCTTCTGGTCCGCACCCCTCTCCCCGGGCGCCCCTTCCTTTTCCAGTGGCCGTTTGTGCACTCCCAGCTTTGCCTCAACGCCTCAGTCACAAGTTTGCGCCCTGCCCTCCCGGAAGTCCCTGCGGGGAGGCGCTGTGCACGTTCCTCCTGGGTTCCCTCTGCGCACAGGGAGGGCGCAGAGCTGTGTCTACTTATCTTTCATTCCTCGCAAGCAGCTGGGACAGGATGGGGAGAAGCTGGAGCCAGAGGGGAAGAAATCTGCGCCCCCCATTTCTGTCCAGTACCAAGCGGGTGGCGTGCTTGTAACAGAAAGGACAGCGCTGTTGGTCCCCCAGAGCTAGACCTCAGGTGGCAGGATCTTCCTTGCTGACACCAGTTCTTTGAGCTTGAGACCTCACTACTCAGCAGCTGCAGTCATGCCGCCTTTCCCACTGGCGCGAGAACATCCCCTTCCTGCTCCTGCCCAGAGGAAGCTGAGAGCTTGAATAAAAATCAAGGAACCCTTGGGCGGCTTGTTTCCGTGTTACCTCTCCACATGTTCTTGGGATGTCAAGACGTTGTGACGCCTCAGGAGCCCTCGCTCAACAGAGGGCTGAGGTAGCAACCGTCCAAATGCTCCACAAATGACTTAGTGTGGTCATGGTGACAAGACATCCCTTCTCCTCAGAAATCCACACACCAATCAGCTAATTTGTCCTCTTTCCTGATAGAGTCCTCTCTTCTCCTGTTCCTCCCATATTTGTAGAATCCTCAGGTCTGAACTAATTACCTCATTGCTGGAACACGCATAAGGGCTCTACTTTTTTCTGTGTTCAGCCTGAATTTCTAACTGTACATTTCTCAGATCATCAAAGATAGCCCCGATCTCATCACTAAATCTGATAATCCCTGGAATATCCCCAGCATTCTAACAGTATCAGTATGCAGAAAACAAAAACAAAAGAAATCCTGCCACCACGTGCTGGTAACAACTGGGAAATTCATTTCTGGTGAAATGGAAAATGATACAGCTACCTTCGAATACAGGGTGGGAGACTCTGAGAAAGACAAATATTCTTTTTCCCCTCAGTGAATCAGTTCCACTCTTTGGTATTTGTCCAACCAAACTAAAAACTTAGGTCACACACAAAGCAGAATACAAGGTCTTGTAACAATTTTATTCATAAGCACTAGACATTAGAAGCAACGGAGATCTCATTCAGAAGGGGACTGAGTATAGGAACAGTGCTACTGTGCAGCGGGGTATCACTCTGCATGGGAAACAAATGAGCTGTCAAGCCACAAGAAATGTACAGAAACTTGAACCACACACTAGCCAGGCAGAGGAGACTGCGTACTCTGGGCTGCAGTCACTTTTCTCATTGCTCAGACAAAACCCCTCACACGTGAAGTTGAAGCCACGAAGGTCCACTGCAGGCCACTGCTGGGAGAGGTGTCAGTGCCTGGTCGACTGGCTTCATGGCAGGGCAGCGTGGCCAAGGGGCAGTCCCTGGCAGGGCTGCAGGGAGCAGCTGCAGGGAGCCTACGTATCCCTTTTACGTAGATCAGCCTCTGCTAAGGTTTGGGAGAAGAGCAAGAGAAGAGCAGATGAAGTGTACGGGATTCCAGAGTGGACAAGCTGCTCTGCTTGATGCTGCGATGGGAGGGGCATGTTCGCGCTCGCTAACCCCCCAGACTTACAGCATCTGGAGTGGATCTGTCGCACACAAGTATACGATATTATTTAGGAGCAGAATGTATCAAAGGAAAGAAGGAAGGAATGAACATAGGCTGGAAGAAACAAATCTAAATATATTACATGTATAGCTGTGTTGTAACATCTATGAAACAATCTCACTAAAGGGAACAAGGGAAAAGGTAAGTAACTTAGGCAAAAAATGGAGTGTATAGTCTTAAAGACAAAAAGAAATTGCACATAAGCAATGTATTCCAGATGAATGAAAACAGTTATTTTGCCTGAGATGGTGGTGCATGCCTGTAATCCTAGCCCTTGGGTTGCTGAGACAGGAGGAACCCTGTGAGTTATAGGACACGGTGGGCTAAAAAAAAAATGAGCTCAGGTTGTTCAGGAAATACATAGGTAGACCCTGTCTCAAAAAGAAAAAAGTGATTTCCCATTTGGATACAAGTCAACAATTTTTTTTTTTGGTGGCGGGTTAGCCCATCCTAGTGGTGTGCCTGGCACAGCATGTAGTGCCGGGGGCGGAACCACAGTCCCTAGGTTTGCCTAAGTTTTCCTAAGTAGGCACTTTAGACCACTGAGCTATCTCACTGGATCCAACAGATTTTTGACTATTACATAGGTATTAAACAACTAAGCAAATGACTGAGCAATGTAGTAGCTGTGTCTTCCACATTTGGAGTGTAGATTGACAGATGAGCTGCGGGGGGAGCTGAGTGATCTGTGTGGTAATGGATTAGAGTTGGGGACATCAGCGAGGATGCCTGAACTTATTGTAGACACACAGGGTTATCTCTGCAAAGCTATGGGTATGTATGCCGGTTATATATGTGCAAGTTAATATAATAATGCAAGTTAATATACACACAACTATTCCTGCGCTCTGCTAAAATTGAGAATCTTTAGTGTGGAGAGCACAACTTCAATGAGTAGAGAAAGATGGAAATGAGTACCTTGTTACTTACAAATCTTGGGGCAGGCTACGCAGCTCTGTGGTAGTCAGTGTGGGGAGGACCTTTGGACGAGCGCTGAGGTCATGCCTTCAAGGAGAGGAGAGCTGGAGAGACCCTGGGTGGCGTCTGACACACACCACAGCAGTTGGTGGGCAAGGCCACACCCCTGGCCAAGAGCCCTGGTCACAGTCTGAGCCTTCAGGCGATGTGGCTCACCTGGTGCTGCACCCTGAGATCTTGCTCTCAGGACCCACAGCCAAGTCCAACCATCAGCAAAGCCTCTGACCAAGTCCAGCAAAGACGGCATCCTACAACATGCCCACAGTGCTTTTTCCAGCTACTAAGGTCATCAAAAACAAAAGGGCTGAGAAACCGTCCCAGCCAAGAGGAGCCTCAGGAGACAGGTCTGTGAAGCATCCTGCGACTGTGGGTGCAATCTTGGAATCAAGAAAAGGAAACAAGGGAGAAACACAGGAACTTTGAATAAGGCAGTCTGAGATTTTACAGGCATCCTCCTGGTCCTCACGCACAGGAAGGGGACTTTCAGGACACACGTATTCTGACGGTTTTATGTCAGAGGATTTGGGAAATCCTAAAGCACTTTGTGATCACTTCTGAACAGCCATTTGGTTCTTCGGGTGACCTGAACTACAGCTCCCAGTTTTCCTTCTGGTTGGCCCAAACCATTTTGTAAGCGCTCACCTTAGTGGGGCAAAAACTCACTTCATAGAGTTGTCATGAATAATTTTTTTTAAGAAACAGAAAGGGATTATTAGGCAGAATTTTAAAGTACACACTCAAAGAAATAGAGTGTGAGGCCTCAAAAAGGAAGTCTCATTCTACAGAGAAGGGAAGATTTACATGCTTTTGGCAGTGGAATTCATGAATCAATAGACCCAGTTTGCAGGAGACAAGTGACAGCCCAGCTTGGGAGGGATGGACTTTACAGGAGACATGCACAGGGACCGCTACACTGGAGTTTTTAAAGGTGAAATATTGTCTAAAAATATTCTTTGAAGCCTTTCAATCTATTTCTCTTCAGGTCAAGGCCCTACTTTTGACTACCAGTTTAACTGATCTGTAGACTTAAAGGACCTTCAAGGGCTTTGCGGCATGATAGTCCTGGAAGAGGCCCAGAGAAGCCTCTGGGGTGCGCAGACATGGGTAACCTTTGGTGGCTCTGTGTCTTGAAGTCACATTATTCTTAAAAGTACAACTTATAAAGTCTGGTTTTCTTCGTCTCCTTCCTGCCTTCCTTATTTCTTCGCTTCTGTCTGGGTCCCCATTCCAGGGCTGTGATTCCTTATTCTTGAGGGGTCCAGCGGGGTCTGGGGCTCTGTTCTTGTGACTGCTCCAGCCCAAAGTGGGGTACTGCTCTTGCCTCACCAGGGCACCAAACACTTCCCTCTGACTGATTTAAGGAGACAAAGCAAGATGAATTGTGTTTGATGAACTATTGCCCTTTGCAAGCTGGAAAAGAGGACAAGGACCTCAGCAAGCAACTGACAATGAAGGCGTCAGGTTAGAGCAGGACTGATTTCTTCATGGGTTTATAGAAATGGTGGCCTAGAGTATCAATTACTTTAGTTTTTCTGAAACCGATCACTTTGGAAGTCAGAAAATCATCATTGCTCTGACAGAACCGCAGAGGCAAGTGCTCACGGGTCCTCGCTACTCTTGACTCAACATTTCTACTTCCTGCTGAGGTGCACACACTTGTTCATACCACCCTTTGTGCTTGTGCTCAATGTGAGAGAGGATGGACCGCATGGCAGAGCCAAATTCAATGACATGCACACTCCTTCCTCGGTACTCATCCATGAAGCCCGCGGTATGCATGGCCACCAAAGAGCCGTTGGAATCAAACACTGGCGAGCCGGAAGAACCCCAATAAAAGGTGGTGTCATAGGTAATAATATCAGAGTTGTGAAGAACTTCCTGGAAACTGTTTTGAGAGTACATGTGGACAAAGCTAGGCCCGCAGTCAGGCTCAGGCACGGATCCTTCATCATTTCTCTGAGATGTCTCACCTCGTGCACTCTGAGGAATTACAACACAGCGGTCAGTGCGCTTACTTTCTCCTTCAGGATGGCCAATGATATGAACCAACCCATTAGGTGGTGCAAGAGCGATTCCGTTGTAGAGCCCTGGAGGTGTTTCTCGTCCATTTTCCTTCAGTTTCAGAACAGCGTAGTCGAGGGTTGTATCACTTATCTCAAACCAAGGTTCAAAGTCAAAGCGGTCGTGGTCTTTTGTTTCAAACTCTTCATAACTGAATGTCACCCACGCACAGCGGCCAATGATGTCTGCCCACCAACGTGGCTCTACTCCGGGTCCCACCATGTTCCTGATCACGTGCTGGCAAGTGAAAACGAAAGACTGTGCGAAGACAAAGCAGGTGGCGCTGCCCACATTTCCATTATTGTCCCAGCGTAAGTATCCAACACACTCGCAGGCTCGTGAGAGGAGCTTGACTGTTTTAGCTAGAACAGAACTGTTTATCTGTTTCCCAAAGTTGGTTTTGTGCAGTGCCATTAGTGCAGATTTCCTTTTCTTTGTTGTTTTCATTTCTTCCTTGAGATTTTCTCTGAATTTTTCCCTTTCTCTTTTCAAACTGGGATACTCTTCCACAATGTATTCTTTCAACACATGGAGACTGCTTTTGTCTGACTCAGTACTCCGGGTGGCCGTGGCCGTGGCCATGGCCGTGGCTGTGGCTGCCACGCTCGCGCCACTCCTGCTTTCAACTTCAATCTGGAAGAGCTTTCCCTCGAGCTGGTCCACCAGCTGGGTGCTTTCTATGATGGAGTCCAGGTTGTAGACGAGCCTCCAGGAGCTGTTCTCCAGGAGAGGAAGGAACCTGCCGTCCTTGCACACAGCGTCCTTGATGGTTTCTCCTTTGAAACCAAAGACACAGAGTCTGTTTCCTTTTTTGTGAAGTTCCCCACATTTAACAATCACTTTTTTTGTTTTCCCAACAGCATGAATATAAAATTTGACACAGTCAGTGGACATCCTGTCTTGCCGGCCAAGCACTTGATTTTCCTGTCCACTTACATGGTTGGAGAAAGTAATTTTCACAGTGCTCTCCTTAGGAAGACAACTGAGAGGCATCCTGACGTTTAGGAAGCCTTCAACTCCCTGCGTACCACACACCAGCATCTCCTTGCCGGCCTGAGACTTCGCCTCTTCTCTGACAGCCTCGAGGGTGCTGAGCGCCTCCTGCAAGGTTCCCTGCCCACTGCGATGGAGCACTAGCTTCATGTCTTGGTTTTTTCTGCAGTTCACTTTCAAGATAACGTTAATGATCTTATTTTGGTGCATGCTCTGGTCTTCTGGAATTTTTTTAGGAAAATGGCATCCTTGATCCGGAGCATGTTTTATATTCCTTACCCTTTTCTGATATTCTATCTTCTTTTGAGAAATAGTGGTAACATTCTGCTCTTCTTTTGGGACCTAAAAATGAGCATCACGTGTTTTAAAATGGTGAACACAACCATAGTCCTTTGTTTCTCTTTTTAACAAGAACATCCTAAAGATACTATGGGCAACTTAGAACCAACTCCAAGGCAAGTGGTAGACAGAATTGGAATTTAATTAATCCAAAATATAAGCTGAGTTTCCTGTTCCTTCAGTCAAATAAGTTCTACATGTTGCCGAATTTTTCTGACAAACTTTTGGGAAGAAACACCTTTTCTTCCTGATGCTTGAAAACCTACAAAATTCCTTACGTTACGTCAGGTCCTGTCTACTATCTGCAGCTACACAGTGTTTGCATTTGCCAAGCATGCTGATATGCTGCACTTAAATTTTTCTTCTTAGAACATCAAACTCAGGGCTGGAGATAGCTCAGTGATCTAAGTGCCTGAGTGGCAAGCACAAGGACCCAAGTTCAATCCCTGGTACTATGTGCCATGCCAGCCCTGCTGGGGAGGCTAAAACATGACACCTTCCATTGAATAAATAAATTAATAAAAATTAAAGAAAAAAAAGTTTTAAAAAAAAAGAACTTTAAACTCAGTAAGAATAGGCTACCATCGCTTATTGTCAGGACTTACAAATTAGACAAAACTATCATTATTTGACTAGTTGGTCACAAAGGATAACTGTCCCCAAGAGTGAACCCCTTGATTCACCAGCCACCCACTGTGCAGAAGCCTGAGCCTCCCCCTGCTTCGTCACTTCCCCCTTCAGCCTTCATTCCCCAGAGAGCACACACAGCCCCCACTGGAGAGCCGAGCGAGGCACAGCAATGACTTCTCCAGCACCTTTTTGAGGATCACACAATGACCAACAAATAAAACCAATCCTCCTGTACTTAGCCTAGAATTTTTCCATTAGACCCTACATATTTTTTCTTAATTTTTGCATTTAAGACACCGATTTTTATAAGATTTTACCTTGCGGGTCAGGGTGGGGAGGAGGTGGAGGACCTGAATACTGACAATTATCACAAAATATAATGACTGATTAAGCCCCTCCCAGTCCCAGGGCTGCAGCGCACCCTTCCCAGATGCACACTGCCCGTGGCCAGAGCGCCAGCAGGCCTGAGCCCGCTAGCTGCCCTTGGCATTTGCCTGAAAAGAAAATCACAGGGCCAGGGCTGCTTTTGAGATCAGCCCTGACATCGCTGTGTGGCAGAGGTAAGCCCCTGACGGTCACCTTCGAGGCTGAGCTTTTCTTTCTTTGTAATAATACTAGTATTCATGGTTTGATCCTCAGCATGCCCTGTAGGCCCTGCCTCCAGGGCATAGTGAGACTTAGATTGAGATTGGGCGGGGTGGCATGTGTGTGTGTAATCCCAGCGCTTGGGAGGCTGAAGAAAGGAGGATCACTATGAGTCTGATCTGTGTACTGAGACCCTGTAGATCCTGCACTAAATACATAAAAATGTAAGACAAAAGAAATAATACTAACATTCAGGATTAATAAATGTACTCAGGCCCCACATGCATATTCTCAAGCCTTCTTTCAGCCATCCCTGTCTGCACCCCTGGGGGCACTGTAGGCGACTCAGGCTACTGGGCAGAGTCCTGGGGAAAGACAGGCCCTCTTGAAAGGCAAAGAGGGGATCTATGTGTGGCTACTGCTCACGGCCATGGAGCGACAGGCCAGAGATGAGTAGGCCAAGGCCTGCCTTGGACGTTCTAGACACTCAGATGTTCAGTGTTCTAGAACCAGAAGGAGGGAAGACAGGTTAAAAGCACTGACGTTGTCCCCTCAGGTGCCTCCCATTCTCAGCTTTCTTCCTGGTCTATTAAGGATCATTTTAGCCTCAGGAAAGGACTCGATGGTCTGGTGCTGCGGTGGAGCCCTGAGGTTGGACGCTGCGGTGGTCACACCCCTGAGCCTCAAGCCCACGTCTCCCCTCCAGCGTCGGAGCCCTGGCTGCACCGCCCCTGTGCTCTTCATCAGCAAGGTGGTGGTACGACCTGTGTGCCTGCCTAACGCGCTGACGGTTAGAATAAGTGAGTACACAGGAGTGCTTCATACACCACGAAGTAATTCAAACCTGGGTTACTATGACCCAGTGTAACTGCCGTCCTTGGAATGCTGTTTCCATGCTGAAAATTTCTTTCTGATTTTTTATTCCAGTTTGCTCTAATAAATTCTATTTTTTGTTGTTCTTCAAAAAGTATTGCAATAGCTTCTTAGTAAAACCTGTTTTTGGTCTCGCCCACAATATTCTTTTAAATCACAGCTCCTCTTCTGCCACCTACCATCTTAGCAAGAAAAAAAAGGGCAAGAATGATAGTAACTTCTGTAATATCCCCCACCACAACAGCAAGGTAATGTCTGGGCAGCAAGACCATGGAGGGCCGGCCAAGGAAGGCCAAGCCTACCCTCAGGACATTCTGAAAACACCACAGACTTACCTGAGGAAAGAAGTCCTCTATTCTCAAATTGTTCTCCAGGTCACGCTGCTGGAACCTGCGCTTCTGACTGCTCATGGTGGCTGAGGTGAAGCAGATGGCTCGGCTGAAACTCTAAGTGCAAAAAGGTTCGAGTGAGAGCAGGATCTTCACAGCTGTCACTGATGCCTCAAAGGAACAGATGACCCAGGGACCCGGCCCTCTTCTGTCCCCTGCACTCTGACCTTGCTGTCCCCAGAGATGGGCTGCAGCCAGCAGACAGTTTACCTGGCAAGGCACTGACTCCAACAGTACAACCTCTTGTGCAAAGTACTCTTATGTTGGCTCGTGCACGACACACTGTGACATTCTTTCTGATTGTGCATGCTCACACCTCCTGTGCTTGGAAGCTCACATCCGGGCTGTGGTCCTCCAGTCAGGGTAGTGTGGACAAGAGAGGCCATCGCCCATGTCCAAGGCGCAGGGCACAGGAGGCTTGAAATACAGGTTAAAAATATTGAGCAGGAAGGGCTGGCCACATAGCTTAGAGGACTAAAGCCCCTGCAAGGAGGCAAAGGGGCCAGGGATCCCAGGGCCTGCCCTGCTGTCCCCTCCCCTGGGGCGCACAATTGAGATTGGGCATGGTAGCACATGCCTGTAATCCCAGCACTTTGGAGGCTGTAAACAGAAGAATCACTAGGAGTCTGATCTATTAATGAGACCCTGAACATCCTGTAAAGCCTTCTCTAAAATTAAAATATATA